TTTAAAGTTATTTTTTATTGACAAATTAGTATTTGAAGAAAAAATTGGGGTTTTTGCTTTACTTACGGAGCATACATGGGAGTAGTTAATTATATCGACTAATTGACGATTTCATTAGCATTAAATTGAAAAAAGTTCTAATTACTTCTTTTACCATTAGCATTATTTTGTCTAATGGTAATGCTTTTTAATGAAATTAATTTCGAATATTCGAATATTATATTGTATTATCATTAGGTGAAATCATGCATGCCAAATTTCAGCTCATTCGGACTAGAAGAACTAGTTTTAACAGGTTTAAAAATTTTTCGAACACGAGTTCGAATTTTCGAAAAATTTTTTTTTAGTTTTTATGACACAGAGATTAATTTAAAAACATAAAAATATTTTCGACAATACTTTGAATTTTCGAACTTAATTTTGAATATTTGAACATATTATTGTATTGTCATCAGATGTACTTACGACTGCTAAATTTCAGCCAATTTGGGCTACGGGAACTGGTTTTAAAAGCTTTCAAACCTGTGCTCGAATCTTCTGAAAATTTTCATGAATTCTTATTAAATATATTTTTCGACAATTATAAATACTAATTAAATTTGTTTTTGAAAATTCATTATCAAATTCATTACCATTATCAAAAAAGTTACAACTGCATTTAAAGTTGGAAAACAACCAGCCAAGTGTAGAAAGGAATGTAAGAAAAAACAAGTAAGAAATTATAGTCGGGCGAGGCCGACCATATAATACCCTACACCTTTGACAAAAATATAATGTAATTTAGTCGCCATAATAAAGCATTTAAGTTGAATTGTACCTTGCCTTAGATATATATACTTAAGCCGTTTATTGTTGAATAAAATTGTGGACATTTAAGTGAAATTTTGATGGGGGCTTTTCATAGGGGCTAGGGTCATACGAGAACCTATTATTATGGAATTCGTGGGGGTCATCAAGTCTTGTATACAACTTGGTTATTGCAGCTTTTTGTCTTGCCATTTGTGCCAAATTTCATTGAATTATCTCCAAAATTGCGACCTGTAGTTTGATTACAAGTTTTAAAAGCCCTATTCGGGGGTTCAGTTGTATGGGGGCTAGGTGAAATAATGGACCGATGGTAACCATTTTCAATAGGCTTCGTCTACGGTACCATAAAAGATCATTTGCCAAATTTTATTGAATTATCTCCACAATTGCGACCTGTAGTTTGATTACAAAGTTTAAAAGCCCTATTCGAGGGGTTCAGTTGTATGGGGGCTAGATGAAATAATGGACCGATGTAAACCATTTTCAATAGGCTTCGTCCCTGGGACAATAAAATATCATGTACCAAATTTCATTGAATTATCTTCAAAATTGCGACCTGTAGTTTGATTACAAGGATTACAAGCCCTATTGGGGGGCTCAGTTGTATGGGGGCTAGGTGAAATAATGGACCGATCTTAACCATTTTCAATAGGCTTCGTCACTGGGACAATAGAAGATCATGTACCAAATTTCATTGAATTATCTTCAAAATTGCGACCTGTAGTTTGATTACAAGGTTTACATGGACGGACGGACAGACGGACATAGCTAAATCGACTCAGAAAATGATTCTGATTGGTATACTTTAAGGTGGGTATAGGACCAATATTATTGTGCGTTACAAACATCAGCACAAACCCAATATACCCTCCCCACTAAAGTGGTGTAGGGTATAATAAACTCACTGTTATTGTTGGTGTTTTGTCAAAACTTTAAAGTTTTGTGAAAGATGCGTTTTGAATTCTTATTGAGTTTAAAATAATTCTTTCATAAGACATTTCTAGTTTTCCTAAAATATTGGGAAAGGTTTCCTGATGAGCTGGCTTAAGCAACCGGCGAAATGCGCATAGGAACTAGCTTCCCCACCATCAATACATTACAGTGAATTTATTTAAAAATTGGGGTTGAAAGCTCGACAAGAAACTCTTTAACTTATTTGAAAAAATAATAAAAATCCCGAAATCAATTTTTTTAAAAAAAGAAAAAAATATAATTTTCATTACATGGTACCAGGGATGGCAAATTTGGTACGATGGTACTTTTTTTGATACTATTTGATGTTCAAAAGTACCGTGATACTCCCGAGTCTTATTTGATACTCTCAAAGTATCTTTAAAAGCTCAAATTTGAAATTCTAAGAATGTTTTGAAATCTAGTTTCAAAAGCCACTTTTTAGAAGTATGTTTTGCAAGTAACCAATGCAGCTCATTTCGAATTTTTATCTTGATTGACATTATATGAATATTAATCTAATTAAATTCCATTGTTAATATTATATGAGAAAATTACCAAAAATTTCAATTTTGAAAAAATATTTGACTTTAAAACAAATTATTTCCAAATGATAGAAGCTCGAAGGACTCAATTTCTCAACTCAATTTTGGTGAAAATTATTTGTACTTTAAAGCAAATTATTGTTTCATGTCATGGATGGTCTTATGTATGGTCTCATGTGTAGAATTTGATATGACTATTGATTTTTTAACAAATGACCACCTATGTACATCGAATTTTTATTTAATAACACATATGTATATTAGGGTGGCCCCAAAATGGAAATTGCTGATGTTCCCACCGAAAATGAAAATTTAGTTCATTCTAAGATACCATTTCTCCATATGCAAATTTAGTATCATATGAAAGGTCCTTGGGAGACGATTTCAATGACATACACAACATCTACTTGTTTGTTACGCTTGCTTTGTAAATAACGATTTCTATGTTATTGTTTAGATTATTTCGCAATGTTTTGGTAGCGTACATAGGCTTCGATAAATTTTAATAAAATTTGATCTAGATTGAATTTTGAAAAACGGAAAAACCCGTTTCGTAGATTTTATTGAGGATTATTGTGTATTAATTTCAATCAATTATATTAAAATCATATATGTTAAAATGTAAAAAATCTGAAACTTTTACGAAAAATTTGGAAATTTAGATTACTTTTACTGTTACTCTGCCATTGAAAGCGTCTCCCAAGGACCTTTCTAATGATACTAAAATTTTATATCTTTCCTTTGGAAGAAATGTGAAAAAAATCATAAAAACCTCAAAAAACGATATTTTTATCCTTTGATCCAGCTCGCCAAATATTGACCCCAGGACAAAAATTTTGAGAAACGCTATCTTATAATCAATTAAACTTTAATTTTAGTTGAGAACCAGGCCATCCTAATGTATATAAGAGATTTATTGACAATAAACTATCGTTACTAATATTTGTTGCTCAATTGTTAGCGTATAATAAATAAATAAGTTGAATTTCTAAATTCATCCTTGAGTAGTGCCAAATGTGGCCTGAATTTCTTTAAGACAGGATTTATTAAAATATGACAAATTGTATCATGACTGATTTTAATATACATATTTACGAAGTACAATATCGGGGTAATATTTTTATGGTAGCTATATGATACCATGGACATTGAAGTTCATAAAATTATATCTAAAAGGTTAACATTGAGAGACGGACAAAGATTCATTATATTAATATATGTATATTAGGGTGATCGATTCTGTTTTTCAACCGGTCTTAAAACCGCTTTTTCTGATTTACCAGTGTCGGTTTTTTCTAAATGTTGATTTTTTCGAATATCGAATAACCCGGTTTTTTAACTTTTTAAAAGCCGGTTTCGAATACTTTTATTTGTATTTAAAGATTACTTCAATTAAATTTTGAAATAAATAATAATACAGCCTGTCTAAATTTTAAAATATTCGAGTCAAGAAACTAGAGTATATTTTTCTAAAGCACCTTTGGTTAAACTTTTTTGATTTTCCTAATTAATTACAAAAATTTATTTGTAAAATTGATTGGAATAACTGTTGGATAAAATTTTATCAATCTTAAGATTACAATAATTAATTTGTCGCTGAAATATTATTGCAGTGTTGGAATGCTTATGAAAATTTACTAAACAGGGACTTTAGAATAAACTAGGATTATGATTCTTCCCAATTTTTTACATTAAAGAAATAATGTTTATTTTAAAAAATCAGTTCGGGTAATAATTTTTTTTCAAATTAAACTAGATGTTTTTATTTATAATAAAAAACCGTTTTCTCTGAATTTGAAAAATATCAACCGGTTTTTTTTTCAAATGTCAACTATTCGAACTACTCGAAAACCGGTTTTTGGAAAATGTCGAATAATCGATCACCCTACGGTATATATAATACCTTTTCTACTTCTGTTGTTGATTATTTAAAAATGTGAAGGTGTATTTAAGATATTAACAACTTTCAGCAAAAAAAAATATTTTAGTACTCTAAGATCCAAAAAAGTACCCTCTGAAATATTTTTTGATACTGAAACAAAATCTCATTTTCCATCCCTGAATGGTACTTAAAATATTTTTCATTAAAATTTTTTCTATAAATGGTAATGAAATTTTAATGCTTAATGAAAAATTCCCATGTATGTTACGTAGATATGATGAAACCCAAAAGGGCTTAAGTTACATTAAAAAATAGTAAGTTTCAACATTTTAAGCTAAATTAAAATCGGTTTTTGTTGGTCAAATATGCCGAAACATTTTTTCATAAAGATTTTCGGAAATTGGGATTTTTCTTTGCAAAAATTCTAAAGCTGTTAAAAAAGTCCATAAATCATAAGGTTTCGCTAATAGTGCCATTTATGTTTTATTTGATGCCAACTTATAATATTTTACAATTTCGATGTTAAAAATTCAAAAGAATTTTAAAATTTTCATGAATTTTAAGGTATTTTTAGAACATATCTTTTAGATTTTCGAAGATAGGGACGTTGATTTTAATTGTAGGAGTGTAAAATTTAGCAGGAACATGTATTTTGATACGGTGCATCATAATCAATTAAAAAGTTGATTTTGATTTTTTTGTTACTTAGAGCCTTTTGGATTTCATATGACGATACATACATTTCCGCTGTTCGTGGTCTTGAAATTGTGAAAGTGAAAAGTGTATAAACATTACTTCAATTTTTTTTTTAACAGATTTAGCCTTTATGGAGGACAGGTGCATGGATATTTTGAAGAACTCGTGCCGGAGAAGAAAATAACGCTTAGGTGGCGGTTAAAATCATGGCCTTCAGGACATTATTCTAATGTCATAATTGAATTGGAAGAAATGGTGAGTACTTATAAAAAGTCTTATAAGATTTTTTTTGTCATATGATGCAAAAAAATTTAAATACGTATTTATACTGATAGTAAAGTTACTAAAGTTTTTATTACATATTTCGGTTCTCCGTTAACCGACTTTTGTGTCTCGTTAATAGGTTTCACAAAATTTTAATTTTTAGTACAGAATTGATGAATTACAATTTTAAACAAAAACCATAAATTTCTGAGTAAAAAACAAACAAAACTGAAATAACTCGCATTCACTCAGCTTTACTCGTCACGATATCTTTAGGGAAGTCTAGAATTTTTAATATTTTTTACAAAGTCCGATATTAAATAAATCGCTTTTTGCAATTTTAGGACACATTTCTATAAATTGCTCCTTATTCTATTTGAAATACTCACCCACTCACGCTGAACCTGTTGCCAAAGCTCCTCCAAATTGGTTGGGGTTACTCGGTATTGTCTCAACCGACACTTCAGGGTTCATCACAAATTTTCAATCGGATTGAGATCGGGGCTTTTTGATCAATAAACAATTTTGTTCAAAACACCATTCTAAGCGATTTTTACATGTGCTTATGTCCCCCTTTCATTGAAAAAATACTTTTTTATTTTTTTTATTTAATACATAATTTACACACACATATGTACATATATGCAATTCATTTTTGTCGTCAGCCTCTTATGTATTAATGATATTATCTGTAATATTGATTTAAGTTGCCTATTTTAACATATATATTTGCTAGTCTATCAACTATATATGGCCCTATGGACTCGGTTGGTTTTTCGTAAATAAATAAATAATACAATTTTATAACTAAGCCCATAGAGGCAAATATGACTTAAAAACTAGTAACATACATATTTGCAAAATCAAAAATTTTTAAGAATTAGGTACAATATTTTTTCGAAATTTTTTTTCTTGTGACAAAAATCATAATAAATATGAAAACGTTAATTTTTTTGATTGATGCGCGCAAAAGTTATAGCGGTTTAAAATAATAAAATTTAAAAAATCGCTAAAAATACAGGTCAAGCTATTTTCAAATAAAATTAATGCACATTCGTAAACATTTATAAGGACTATTAGCGCATGTCAAAATAGTTATCGCAATTTCATATTTCAGAAAATACACTGATATCTAAAAAAAATTATTTTAATTTTTTTTCTATTTATTTCAAATCCCAAATTTTTGCAAATAAAAAAATATCGAAAATAATTGTCCTAAAATGTATTGGCATATGAACTCAGTTAATATCTCAGTCGGTTTGGAAGATAAAGCCATCTGAAATAGCTTTCTCATATATTTTTTTATCAAATCAAAGTACATACAATTTTTTCAATTTTTTTCGACGGATTTTAAAACATAATTTTAATTATGTTATTATTATGTATAAATTCATAGTGAAATGCTCAAGTTGATAAAAATGTTGCTAAATATTTGAATTTATTTTTGAGGTTATGAAATCCGTATTAAGGTCGTAAAATTGTATATCCTTAAAATAGAAAGCTTTTATTTGACATTAATATTTCCGCAAATCATAAGGCGCTATGAAAACAAAATGTTTTTTCAGATAAACGCTGCTAGGACCGCTATATATGAAGAAATTTTGTTTTTCTTTCACAATTTAATTCATCAATATAATTTACTGCAAAAAATTACAAAATTTTTGCATTGCGTCTTTAGATAAAAATACAAAGAAAACGAAATTTAAATTTTGCAAAAATTTTTAAATTATCATAAGATAATTCGCATTACAATTTTTTTCGCATTTACAAATTTTTTAATACGCATTTGAATCGGAGGTGTTAATTATGAGATTAAATTTACGCGATATTACAACTGTTTTCGTAAATACTTACCTATGAATGTCACATTAAAAAATGTCACATTTTTCAAAAATTTACGACTATTCTTTTCAAGTTTATATAAGCCTTGCTTAGATCTCTGACATCAACAAGATATACCTTAAATTGCGTGAAATTACTACACCTATTAAATACCGTTGCTTCAATTCAATTTGATTAATGCGCGCACATAAACTATTAAAAAAAACTGAACAAAATAAAAAAAAAAAAAAACCCAAAATTTTGGTTACATTTGTTTACAACCGTAGATATTTGCACCAAAAAGTATTAACCCAGCAAAAAAAGTGAGGAAAAAGAAGTAGAATTTTCACCACAAATAACATACTTGAAGTACTTCCAATTTGTGAAAAACCTATGAATTTAACATTAGCGTGTCATTGGAGGGATGTTGTTCATTTTTGACAACTTTGAACTACATCTAATCTTATTCATAGATGCAGTAAAAATCCGATATTTGGATGTCAAAAATAAACCACATTCTTTCAATGACACGGTTATGTAAATTTCATTAGTTTTTCACCAAAATTTGATGTACTTCGAATATGTTATTTGTAGTGACTTTTCAACATCTCTTTCCTCATTTTTAACTCGGTTTTTATTTGTAAGGAAGTATTTGGTTTATAAAATCGAAAAATATGTAATCGCATTTTTAGATGTGATTAAGATGTCGTTTGTAAAGTATGACATCAGTTATTTTTTGCTGGGAATGAAAATACTATAAGGATTTTTAATTTCATTATCTCAAAGCATTTTTTCATTTTTTAAATTTTAAATGTTCATAAAGAGATAATAAGCTAGTGGTCTGCAATTTTGGACATACATGTGGTGTATTATACCGAAATGTATGAAAACATTTACTTATTTTAAAAGGTTTAACAAAATACGGGGCATTTTAATCCACTTTCATCGATTCTAAAAAATGTTTGATTTTGTTCATATATTCTAATACAGAATTATAACTTACCTATGAATGTCACATTAAAAAATGTCACATTTTTCAAAAATTTACGACTATTCTTTTCAAGTTTATATAAGCCTTGCTTAGATCTCTGACATCAACAAGATATACCTTAAATTGCGTGAAATTACTACACCTATTAAATACCGTTGCTTAAATTTAATTTGATTAATGCGCGCACATGAACTATTAAAAAAAACTGAACAAAATAAAAAAACGCTAAATTTTGGTTACATTTGTTTACAACCGTATATATTTGCACCAAAAAGTATTAACCCAGCAAAAAAAGTGAGGAAAAAGAAGTAGAATTTTCACCACAAATAACATACTTGAAGTACTTCCAATTTTGGTGAAAAACCTATGAATTTAACATTAGCGTGTCATTGGAGGGATGTTGTTCATTTTTGAAAACTTTGAACTACATCTAATCTTATTCATAGATGCAGTAAAAATCCGATATTTGGATGTCAAAAATAAACCACATTCTTTCAATGACACGGTTATGTAAATTTCATTAGTTTTTCACCAAAATTTGATGTACTTCGAATATGTTATTTGTAGTGACTTGTCAACATCTCTTTCCTCACTTTTAACTCGGTTTTTATTTGTAAGGAAGTATTTGGTTTATAAAATCGAAAAATATGTAATCGCATTTTTAGATGTGATTAAGATGTCGTTTGTAAAGTATAACATCAGTTATTTTTTGCTGGGAATGAAAATACTATAAGGATTTTTAATTTCATTATCTTAAAGCATTTTTTCATTTAAATTTTAAATGTTCATAAAGAGATAATAAGCTAGTGGTCTGCAATTTTGGACATACATGTGGTGTATTATACCGAAATGTATGAAAACATTTACTTATTTTAAAAGGTTTAACAAAATACGGGGCATTTTAATCCACTTTCATCGATTCTAAAAAATGTTTGATTTTGTTCATATATTCTAATACAGAATTATAACTCAATATATATATATATATATATATATATATATATATATATATATATATATATATATATATATATATATATATATATATATATATATATATATACATGTGGTGTATTATACCGAAATGTATGAAAACATTTACTTATTTTAAAAGGTTTAACAAAATACGGGGCATTTTAATCCACTTTCATCGATTCTAGTACCTCAAATAAAAGGTATTCAACTCATATTTTATATGATATATATATTTTATAGATTTGCTTGCTTCATCGCATTTTATTGATATTCAAAAAAATTGGCATTGGAAAAAATTATAGAAACGGTTTATAGTATTACATAGGAGACATAAGGTAAGATTTTTTGAACGGATATGTCGAATATCTTGGAACATTTTACGACTAGAGTCCTCAATGTGCAATTTTGACATCCATATGATTATTTGGTGGAAAAATTGGAGGACTAGCAATAGGGGGCGTGGTAACCTCATATGAATTACATACAAAAATGTTTATATCTAGGAAACCTAGAATCCTCAAATTTTGCACAAACAAATATGTCATTCATGTCAATATTTGTGTAATAAATTGGCGGATTAGAAATAGGGGCGTGGCACATCCCATATGAACAAAATAATAAATTTCGTATATATGGGAATGCATTAAAGATGAGTAATATTGAAATTCATATAAACAGTTTGAAGGAAAAATTGGGGGCTCTGAACATGGAATTGAGCTGGGTTCAACCTAGAGGCCTCAATGTTAACCCGGCGAAGAAATATGTCTTTTCACAAGAAAGGCAAAAATTTCTGATGACCATATAGTAGCATAAAGGCGAAAGGGATTGTCAAAGACCTAAGTCCCCTGTTAAAAACCTAACTGGTGAGAATGTATTGGTAAAAGCACAAAAATAAACACAGTTGTTCAAAAGATACTAAATAATAAATGTATTTTTGATGCGTTATTTTTTGTGTGTAATTACTGGGATTTCATATACAAGGTAATGAAAATATTAGTTAATTAATTTTTTTTTCATCTTAAAAAATATTATAAAGACGTCTTTTGTTACTTTTTTCTGCACTAATGGAAAAAGAAAAATGTATGTAAATTTTTATACCCTACACCACTTTAGTGGGGTGGGTATATTGGATTTGTGCTGATGTTTGTAACATACAAAAATATTCGTCCTAGCCCCCATAGAACAGAACCCCCCGAAAAGGGCT